TATAGTAACATAATTGACCCTGGACGCAGTAGGTAAAATGCAAATTAAAATTCTGAATGTGCGGCTGTTGTTTGACATGGATGAGGTGACTTTATTCGTTGTGGGTTTTTATTATCATTAACTCAGGGTTTGGTGTTTGTTTTCCTTGTCTGACTCCCAGCCTGTCCACATTGTTTGGGTAAGAGCAAGTGCATGTCTCTCCTTCTGTCAACAGTGAGAAACCTTTATGCAGCCACCTTTGAGGCACAAAACCCCCAATACATGGAAGTTTCCAGTGTATTTTAAAGCTGTTTGATGAAATATGAACTTTTTTTATTGTTTGTTTTATTTTAAAGTTGTCAGTGGAGTTGGCTCTGGGAAGCAGATGCTTACTTTTTGAGTTGTGACAAGGTATTTGATGGTGATGAAAGGACAGTGAACAATTGTTGACAAGCATTTTTATTTTTTTAAGTCAGCAATTTGTCAGGCCACTTGCTGTTTAAGAACAGGAATTCTAATGTAATGGGACAGAATTCCAGCTTAGATCTAGACTAAAAATATTCAGCCTTAGCACTGTTGACATTTCGAGCTTGTTAAGTCTCTGTGATGCTGGTGGGGGTGCTGTCCTAGGCATTGTAGGATGTTTAAGAGCACTTCCTCCCTATCCCCCCCCCCCCCAGGGTGTGATAACCATAAATGTCTTTAGACATTGCCAGATGTCCCCAGGGTGGGGAAAGAAGGATAATAACCACTGGTCATCTGAGAAACCACCTGCATTGCTTAAAGCCACCATTGTTCATCCAGAATGCCTTTTCTGATGGCTTTACAGTTTTGCTTGCATGTCCTTTTCTATAGAAGTCTGCAAGCATTAACTTAAAAAAAATTTACTAATGAGTGTAAGGTAACGAGATAGAAGGTTAGATTTTCCCACACCTGCTGTCCTGTTGAAAAACATTTCCATTTCCTCATTGGTCTGTGCAAGTTTGGGTCTATGGGGGACCAATGCGTGTAGATTCCCCAGTTAGAGCCTTTGGGTTTGTTTGAGGTTTCACTGGCTGTGTAGTGATGTCAGTATCTCGCTTGTTCTAAAATACATTTTTAAGATAGCATTCATGTTTTTTCCCCCCTTTGGGGAAGGTGCCAGGCACTGGATTGTCTTAGGTAAGCCTTGCCGACAGAAAAATGTCCTTCAAACACATATGGGACAGGTGGGCTGTCTTTTTGGAGTAGTTTACCTTCCTGGATGTGGGCCCTCTATCTGTTGCTGTGTATGTTGTCTGAGACACGACACTTTTTATTTAATCATCTTCTGATAGAAACCATGGCTGTAAATGTTTTGGCTTGGTGGTTCTTCACAAGCTTCCTTGGAGCTAAAGAGATCCGTTTTTGGATGTAGGGGCATGGGGTATTGGGAAGTGGGGACTGCAGAAGTAGGACTCATGAGACACAGATCTAGGAACAAATTTTCATCTGTCACTGCTGTTAAGGCTGCATGGGAAGGTGGATTCATCTCTGGTGAGGATGCATTGTCTCAAGATGTGTGGCATTATATGCCCTCAAGAGCCTCCCCTTACCTGGGAAGGGAAAGACGTGAGGTCTTCATTGGAGAAGGAGGTTGCCCTCTCCCTTCCCCATTCTTGGGACCACTCCGTCTAATTCCTTGTGAATGTGACTGGGCTGCTGTGGGATCTCAGGAGAAATCCTAAAAAGTTTTCAATCCTCATTCCGGCTGTGAGCCCCATGGCAAGCCACTGTCTCCTCTGTGAAATAGGATCCTTCCTGCCTTGGGTATGTTCTGAGCTGTGGGCAGGGGGAAATCTAGGAGCCCTGCATGGCAGCAGAAGAAGTAGAACATGAGGCTGCAATGTCCATGTTCCCAGACCTACAGTATTTTCAGTAGTTGAGATCCATCCTGTCTCTGCTTAGTACTCTTTCCAATTTGGTAGGTTTTTTGCTTTTTTAAAAAAAAGAAAACAGCACCGTGGGGCACCTGGGTGGCTCAGTTAATTAAGCATCTGACCCTTGACTTTCGCTCAGGTAATAATCTCAGGGTTGTGAGATTGAGCCCCGTGTAGGGATCCCTGCTGGGCATGGATCCTGCTTACCATTCTCCCTCCCTCTCCCTCCCACCCTATGCTCTCTCTAAAAAACTAAATAAAATAAAATATAAAAATAAAAAGAGGAAGAAGCTTTCAAAATGGCCAACAAAGGGAAGGAGGAACTTGGTTGCCTCTAATAAGGGACAGTGAGCTTTCTTCAAGGATCCTGGAGAACCAGAGCTGGGTAGAGTTGGGAATTCCCTGGGGCAGTTAAGGCTGTTGGACATCCCTGTTGATAGTTATTAGCCTAAATGTGGGGTTTAATCACGTGGGTCTACTTCACAGCTGTGGTGAAGCCCCGTTATTACGCGAGCTAGTTTTTCTTTTTAATCATGTATCATAGAATGCTTTCTAGTTTATCTTTCTAAAAACCAACTTGGGTTTGGCAGCAAAGCTCTACTTCCTTCTTGTGTATCCATACATTTGCCTGAGTATGCGTTTGTGGTGACATAAAATCATCACACCTCTGCAAAAGTTTTTTGGTGGCTCTGTTCTGGATTTTCGGGGGGAACAGGGTGTGCAGGGAGGGATGAGAGGATGGTGCCCCCCACCCGGTAGTTAAATCCCTTCCCCTCTGCTTGGCTTCTCTCATCTTGTAATCCATGCCATGCTTAATTACCCCGGTGCACTTGCTTGTGTATGCATCATTGCACTCCCCTCCAGAAGCCGGACATAGCTCTTATTTCTCTAAGTAATGATAGCAATTGCTGGGAGGGCAGACCTGTTCCTCATCCTTCTCCGAGCACATTTCTTATGGCAGGTGTCTAGTTCCTAATTAAGTGCTAATGAGCATGCCTAGTGGACCATGGTGCTGCTGCCAGCTTCTCCAGTTTTATGTCTTGCTATTGCCAAGCTCTTAAAAGGTGACAGAGCAAGAATTAGTGTCTTTGGGATGACAGGAAGGTGATTTTATGTGTAGAGAAATTGTTATTATGATCTCAAATGGTGAATGAGGAGTTTATAAATACTTTCCAGGAATACTATTAATGCTGGCTGCTCTGACCTTTTTCTCTCCCCCTTTCCACCTGTCCCCTGATGAGCACTGTGCTTCCCTCTGGGAAGTAGAGGAGTTTCAAGACCAGGTGGACTCCTAAAGATTTTTTTTTTAGAAGATGCTAGGAGTGGTTGCAAATTTACTGTAAACTGACTATAGACACCGATCTCTGGCTTTCAGATGCAGTTTTCTCTTACTCTCAGGGCGGGAAGCATGTTTAGGATTCAGTTAAAGATCAGTGGTCTGGGTAGAAATCACTGAAGATCTGGCATGAAGATTTAATATATGCAGTACACGCGAGGGGGTAATAAATAAATGAGTAATTGAGTCCCAGGGAAGTGAGCACAAATCAGAATCTTAAGAATTTTCTAACATTATACCTTAGAAATTGAGCTTTAATCGTTTTTACTGTCTCATCAAAAACGAGTTTTATGTTGGACAGCTGAAATGTGGCCAGATTTATGGCTCAGGGGCCATTTCTTGGATACTTTTTCATTTACTACAACATGCTCTTAAATATATGAGAACAACGGTACTTTTTAGTGTGAACAGATTTCTGACTTCTGGCATATAAGAGAGAAGGGCCGAGGCATTTGGGAGTGGGGACTTGGGTCACTGTGGGGAGAGGCCCATATAGCGGGGTTCCCAGTCAAGGCCTCTTGGGTCTCAGTATTTTCCTCTGACACTGAAAGGGTGGATTGGGGGGGGTGCTCAAGAAAGGAAGCCATAAACAATCTTAGGCTGTAGTTTCTTCCAGCTGTGGTTTCTTCTAGCTGCCACAGCGTGGCCACCAGAGTTCACCCCTGGGGTGACCAGAGTGCAGCCATGAAGGTCGTCATATTGGGACCCCACACCCCTCCCTCCTGGCAGGAGAACCTCGGCAGTTTCGTTAACACCCTGTGCCATGGTTCCTTCTGTGAAAGGGGGATGTCAGGGCCTCCTCCTGGTTCTGTGAGGGCTCAGTGAAGTAAGGACACAGGGGTCCTTGAGGGGGTGGAGCAGGGGTGCCTAAGAGATGCTGGGTCTTTTTTCAGCCTTCTGTTAATTTAAGGTAGTATTTTGGTTGCGCCTCATTGTACCATGCTGGTACGTTAGCACAAGAATATTGGGGAGACAGAGTCACCTCATAACTGGTGACCAGTAGAGAGTAGAGTTACTGGTTTATAGGGTACATGTCTACGCCCTCCCCCCTACTTTAACCTTCCTGACGTCAGGAGGAGTCTCACATTCAGGGACAGACTGGATTACATCCCTGGAGGCGCTTAGAGGTGGATCTAACATGGGAGGTTCACAGACTGGCCTGGCTCCCTGCCCTCAGCCACCACAGTGTGGGCAGCCATGCCAGGAGGAGGCAGTGGCCCTAGGTCTCGGGCTAGACTGTGGAAAGATGGGGAGAGACAGCTGTGTAGATGGAAGCTTTTGATGAACTGAAAATGCTAATCACATTTTCCCCTCTTTCCTCCCTTTGTCTCTTTGTCCCCTTCGTGTGCTTGTGGAACTTCCTATTGTGTTTCCTCCGTCCTCTTGGGCACCTTGGGGATACTTCCCCCTGGATGTTACTGCTACTTCCACCTTCCTCTGCTCCTTCCTCTTTTCCCTCCTCATCTTCCTCTCATCCTCTCATCTGTTCCTCCTCCCCCTTCCTCTCTCATCTCCTCCTCTTCCCTTTCCTCTCATTTCTTTCTCCTCCCTCGTCCCTCCTTTTTCCTCCTCCTCTTCCTCTCTCATCTCTTCCTTCTCCCTCACCTCTTCCTCTTCCTCTCACTCTCATCCCCTCCTTCCTCCTCCTCCCTTACCTCTTCCTCTCCCCCTTCCTCTCATGTCTTCCTCCTCTCTCACTTTCTCCTCTCCCTCTTACCAACATCCTCTCTTCACTTCCTCCTCTCCCCACCCTCCTCTTCCCCTTCCCCTCCCACCACCATCAACAGCAGCAGCAGTTGCAAGCTCAGCATCTTTCTCATGGCCATGGCCCCCCAGTGCCCCTAACACCTCACCCTTCGGGACTTCAGCCTCCTGGAATCCCACCCCTTGGGGGCAGCGCTGGCCTCCTGGCGCTGTCCAGTGCTCTGAGTGGGCAGTCTCACTTGGCAATAAAAGATGACAAGAAGCACCACGATGCAGAGCACCACAGAGGTGAGAGGCCGGGCAAGCCAGATTAGGACTTGGTCCTAATACTCATACAGTGCTGCAAAGTTGTGTGCACCGCTAAAGCAAGCCCCACCCCATACAGAGTGCAAACAATGAGCTAAGAGGAACTGTCACAAAGCTTGGCCACTGAAACAGTTCTCCCTGGAAGTTTCCAGGGTTTAACGTGGGCATCTGTAGATTTCTCGATCTCTTTAGATTGCAGGCATCTTGACATCTTGGCAACTGCCTAGTTAATGCCAGTGGCCTGTACCATATTATGGAAAACTGTTAACTGCTTAATTGGGTAATTTTCAAAGAAAGTAATGTTGTTAAATGGGGCGAAATAAGAAGTTAAATTTGAAAGTGAATGTGTTCAAATGAAAGGTTTGATAATTGCATCTGTTACTACTTAGTTTCATAGGCTTTAATTCTAGTATGCATTAAATATTGGGCAAAATTGCACTTGACTAATTTTTTGAAGAAAAGTAATTTATTCTGTCAAGAAATAAAAAAATAGGCTTTGTGTATGGTTAAACTGTAAATCTTATGTTTACAAAAAATACTGTAATTTTCAGGAAATCACTGTATTAGGAATGTGCAATGACTTATAAAAATAAAAGCCATTTTTAAACCTGTTTGGGGCTTGTGTTCTAATTATTCCCCCCTTTTTTTTATTTCTGTTCTTGCCTCTGTGTCTGAACGGGCATGTCTGTGCGTTTCTTGGTAACCTCGGGAGCAGACAGAGAACCGGGCACAGTAAGTACTCAAACGCCTGCTGCACATAAAACACATTCCCCTTCCTGCAATGTACCCCAAGCTGCCTTTCTTTAAACACAGCCACAGACATGCATATGCTGTCTCTCTCAGTGACCTGGTTTCTTTCTTTCTTTCTTTTTTTTTTTTTTAATATGACTATCCACTCCCTCTCCCCCGGCCTTTTTTTTTTTTTTTTTTTTTTAATAAAACTTTTGTTAGATAAGAGGGACATGATTTGGAGGCCACGCTGTCTGCTATGATTACTCACTTGGAAATACACTTTCATCTGTACATGCCCCAGGCCTACTTTAAAAGTATGTTTATCATTGCATTCCAACTATAGGTTGCTTGTAGTTTAAAAGAATATTCATGTTTATCTTAAATCAGTTTTACAGGCAAGAGGTCACAATCCATATGTGAAATTGGTTAGTAATATGTTATTTCTATTAAACCATTCATTATCCTCTACAAATGCATCTTAGTTGCTAGGTTTCCATATCTACTTTTCTTTTCATAATTGCCCTTGGAGGGTGAACTTGAACTTCAGATTTATTTTTGACCAAAGAACTGAGCGTCTGAGTAAGCTCTTAAAAACAGGGAAATTCAGTGGACAGAGGCTCTAGGCTTACGGTGTTCATTTTTTTTTTTACCAGCCTAAATCTCACCCATTTTACATACTGCACGTTCAGTCTGTACATGTATCTGTCAGTAAGCTGTGGGGAGATTGGATCTAAAATGCATCTCTGAAATGTTGTGGAGCAAACAAATGGAGTAAGAAAATGGCCCCTTGTCAGCGAGGATAACCTTCGATTTTTGCCTCCTTTCCTCCTTTCCTTTCCTTCTGAACATGGCAGGTTAAATATGAATATGGTAGCAAAACTGAGATACTGAACTCTTAAATCATTCTGATTTTTTTTTTTTTTTGAGTTTGGGGGAAGGTAGTTAAATCATTTGAGTGTGGAAAGTTCTTTTTCCCTCTTCAGTGTAGAATAGTGGCTGCTTTTAAAATTCTCTTTGAGCCTGAACTTGGTATACTTTATTTTGTTTTGCGTTTTCTTTGTTTTGTTTCTTTTGAGGGAGTGAGATGGTGGGGCCAGAGGGCCAAAGGGAGAGGGAGAGAGAGAATCTATAGCAGGCTCAACACTCAGTACAGAGGCTGACATGGGCTCGATCTCACAACCCTGAGATCGTGACCCGAGCCAAAATCAAGAGTCGGTTGGTGTACTTTATATTTCAGGATGCCTTGGGGGCAGCGGATAAGGGTGAAAGGATGGGCTAGCTGTTCTGCAATTCTCATACTGTAAGTTTTCTCTGGACAATGTTGGGGGCAGAAGAAAGAAGGGAGAAAAAGAATGCCAGCTATGGAATAAAATATCCTACTCCCAAAGTACAAACCTAAATAAACTGACTGATGGAGGTGACCTTTATGTTTTTCACTGACTCAGTGTCACTGTAGATTGTCTTCTTTTATGCCATGTTCATTCAATAGAGTGTTAATTAAAAAACCCTAATCCCGAAGAACAGAGATGGTGGAAGATATTGAGAAAGCTCCTGTCCCTCAGACCTATAGTCGGCTGCAAGTTTTAATTTATTGAACTTATTCTAGGTTTGGAACTGTATTTCTAACTTTAGCTTCCTGTTCTCGGTACTGTTTCATCCAAAATCACTGTATTTATTGAGTGCTTACTGTGTGTAAAGCAACACAGGAAATGTAGCTCTGGTCAGGGATAGGTAGGCACACCTATTACAAGCCCTTTCTCAAAGCACTGAGGGAAGGTGACAGAAATATTAGATAGAAGATTGTAGAAAGTTCCAGCAAGAGTTCTAGATAGTTGTGGGAGGGGTTCTGTAGTATGGATTTCGCTGAGGCTCTGTGGCAGGAGTGATGAGTTGACTTAACCCAGTAGGGGCATTCTCCACACCTCCGTGTGTGTCTGAGTGTATCAAATACCAATTTGTATTTTTGGCTGACAAATTTAGCAAGAACTTAATTCACTGGGGAAGTGAGGAGGTAGAGGAAGGTGAGGAGTTGTACCCTCCAAGTGCAAAACCATCCTTCACTTTCCATTGTTCTTAGGTCCTCATGTTTTCACAATCTGTGAACTTTCAAGTCAAAATATGGTGGCTACATTGCAGAAACCCAATCAGTACAAAAACAAAATAAATGGTTACTTAATGCATTATTTGCATGTCTCTTTCGCATCAAATTTTCCACAAGTTTTAATGATAATTTTAATGGGTATTTTCAGAATAAGTATATATACTGTGTTTCCTGCCTAACTTTTATAGACCTCTGTTGGTGGTGTTGGTATAAAATGGGAAAACTATACTGATTTGTAACCTAAACATTTAATTCAGTCTGTAGAGAGAAACAAAGCTGTTCACTGTCCACATAAGTGGGATTTCGCTACAGTTATATAAAATGAAATAGCTCTTCAAACTTTGTGTAAAATTGAATATGAGATGCAGTGGGTAATGAGATGATGTATGTTCGTAGTACATAAAATAGTGTAATACTTCTGTATTTCATAAAGTGGTTTGAATTATGAAGTCGAATTTTACTTGGCAGAGAAAGTTGATTATACTCTTCGTGTTTGGGTTTGTTTTGTTTGTTTTTTTCAAACCAATGAGTTGCTACAGGGCAGTGGTTTCCAAACCTTGGTCTCAGGATCCTCTACATCTTAAAATTATTGATGACCCCAGACAGTTTTTCTCTATGTGGATTATATATTTTGAAATTTTTCTGGATTAAGAAATTAAAAAAAAAGTGGCAATAACTAGAACAGGTAAAGAGCTTCTTAATTTGTGCTACCATCAATAACATTATTAATGAAAATGATCTATTTTCCCAAACAAAAAATGGTGGGATGAGTGGCTTTGTGTGGCATGTTTCCAGATCTCTTCAGTGCATGACTGAGTAGAGGATAGACGTAGTCTCATCAGCTTCTGCGTCCTGTCTGTTGCAATACGTTGTTTTGATTGAGACATAGGAAGAAGATGTGTCCCCAAAGAGATTTTTAATGGTCTCTGAGAACCTCACGGGTCCTTGGACCAAACGGAGAACCTGTCATAAATAAGACCAAGGAGTTTTGAAGCATTCTACGTTGGTACATAGTCTTATTTTTTTTCCTGTTCTTTTTGTATTGAACAAACATGATAATTAAATATATCAAGCTCAGCAGTCAGGGACTTTTCTCAACCCAGGGGGGAATGTGAGTGTGTATGGATTTTCATCTATGAGTCTAAAACTGGTTTGTAGATAGTTTGTATTTGTTTATTTTTAGTGACAAAATTACTACATTTGCTAGTTTAAGGTGATTTGGTAGAAAGACAAATGAACCTTACTGTAGCCTATTTTACTATAAAACCCAAGAAAAAAATGAAGGTACTAATGGACACTATTTTTTAACTTTCTTCTTTTTGAGAAAGATGAATGATAAAAGTAATAACTTTTAGGAGGGTTTATTTTGCTATTTGGCTGTTGGTTTTAAATTAAGATTTGACTACTGTTTTTTACTAATTTGCAAAACGTGTTTGCTTTTTTTTTTTTTTAACATAAAGCTACTTATGAGAGTGCTATAGTTGAGCGAAGAATTATGACATGACCTAGCAAAAAGGACTTTATTTCTTACATAGTAATAAAAAGTTTGGCTATCTCAATTAATTTAGAGATGAATTGTATTCAATTTTGGCTGAAGTCAGTCTTTAATAAGTCTGCTTGAAAGACCTTGAATCAGAGAATTGACAAGGCATTGTATGGCTTTTAAAGAATATGCTAGAACGTGTGTTTTGATACTCATTCATTTAACACATATTTCATGAGCACTCACTATGTGCCAAGCACTGTAAGGCACTACATGTAGAGATGACCCTTGAACAACACAACATGGGTTTAAACTGTGCCGGTGCACTTACGTATGGATTTTTGTGATAAACAAAGTACAGTATTACATTTTCTCTTCCTTATGATCTTAACATTCTCTTTTCTCTAGCTTACCTTTGAAAACACAGCATATAATATATATACAAAATATATGTTATGTGTTACCAACTGTGTTATTGGTAAGGCTTCTGGTCAACAGTAGGCTATTAGTACTTAAGTTTTGAGGAGTCAAAAATTAGGCATAGACTTTTGAATGAGACGGGGGTGCACCCCTAACCCCCTAGCTGTTCAAGGGTCAGTTGTACTTGCCACCATTTTACAATGATTATCTTTTAATATCACAGCCACATATTTGTTAAATGAAAACCACTAGAATGCCTAACACATGTCAGCACTATCCATGTCAGGACATTTGGAAGAGGGAGATAATGGGGATAGGTGTCAGGGAGAGATTCCAGGGCAGAGGGTCTGTAGACTTAGGTGGGATACATGGGTGGGCATCAGAAGGTCCTTGAACCCCCTCTAAAATTGTGTGCATAGTGTTCTGGGTTGGTGCTCTTTTCTATAATTGTGAGGAGAGATTATAACTTTCATCAAATTCTCAAAAGGGGTTCCTGGCCCAGAAAAGTGTAAGCACTGTTCATGTATTTAGAGGTCATAATGATGCAAAACCATCATCTTAACCAATAAGACACCGTGCTCAAGGAAGCTAGGTACCTCTAATCCTACAATTAATTAATGGAGGTAGAGATTTAGATTATGTCTTTCTGAGGGACCGTGTTATCACTCCTGTAACTGACTTCATCTTTAGAGCTTATTTTAAAATAGTGCTGACAGCCATCACTTTATTTAATGTGAGGTGGTGTCTTTGTGTTTCTTCTGTGGCTGTTCTGCTTAACTAGTTAATTGGTAGGACCAGATCCTAGTAAGGACCACCCATGATTTTTTTCTCAGATCTCACTCAGCACCATAGAACGCAAGGAAAATGTGAGACATGAGTTTTTCTTCAGAAAATACTTGACTGAAATTTTGGCCTTTTTCTGAAAAAAAAAAATTTTTTTTTTTTAAATATCACATCAGCTCCCAGTAATAGTTTGTTAGGACCATGGCACCATGG